CAAAGTGGGCCACGCGCAGACAGGACTCCATCCACCCCGGGCAGCTTTCCTGGGCCGTGGGGGACCGGCTCGCCATGGATCCCAGGCCCCGTTGATTGCTGCTGCCCATCAGTGAGTAGTAAAGTTGGTTTGCATGACTTGCACAAGTGTTCTGTCTCACCGCGCTCATTCCCCGGCAGCCGGGGTATGTGTGACTCCTCCTGCCGGATCTAGGAGACGAAGCAGAAACTAGCGAGGTGTTTCGAGCCCCCCCCCCCCGCCGGGAGCGATGCAGGTGTGTAGTGTCGACCAGGTCTTTGGAGTCCTCCCCTGGCAGTGATGACCAGTGCACGGTGCTCTGCTTCACAGAGGGAAGAAAGAGAAGATTCCAATCAGGAAGGGGCTCCCCTGCAATTTCACGTAGGGCAGGACGGAGTCTAGACGTGGGATGGGAGCAACGAAATTTACCCAGACTCCAAACCTCTGGGGGAAGCGCCTGGGACGGTAGCTGTGCCGTGAGACTGAACTGAAAGGGTAGGGACGTTTGTTCCCTTTTCCAGACTCCACTTGTATCCGATCCCTTCACAGTAAAGCTGCTGTAGGAGGTTGCCCAGGGGTCAGCAAAGTAGGCCCACTGGCCAAATCCAGCCTGCAGACCATTTTTGCATATATCACAAGCCAAGAATGGCTTTGTGCATTTTACAAAGATTGTGAAGAAGAAGGAGGAGGAGGGAGAAGAGGAGACAGAGACTACACGTGGCCATCAAAGTCTGAAATATCGCCTTGCTCGCCCTTTACCGAAAAAATGTGCAGACCCGTGGATTGCAGGCCCACCCCCTTCCATTAAGGGCACTGGGGAGACAAGGCCACCTTGACAGCAGGGGCAGCATTTGTTTTGTTCACTGTGGGAAGCTCAGTGCCTGGGATCATGCCTGGCATGTAACATCACTCTGTAAGTGTTTGTGCAATAAAGAAAGAAATGAATGAATGAATGATGTGTAGGAAAGCACTTGGTAACCTCTAACGTCCAGGTGCAGGAGGGATAAAAATAAGGTCTATTTTAGAATCCACTGTGCTTTCTTATTCTGGAGGGTCAGCTGACTTTGCCTGGGCCGAGGCCCTCGGTGTGTTCTGGGAGAGCCTGGGCCAGAGCCCCTGTATGCAGGAGCAGCAGTCTCAGCCCAGGAGCTGGAAGCAGCTGGGAAATCCAAACGAAGACACCTCGCAGGGAGAGATGTGCTCTCGTGCTTGGCCTCCGAAGCAACGCTTCTTGGGCCTGAGGGTGCACGTAGATCACCTGGTGATATTTGTAGGGTGCAGATTCTGAAGGAATGGGGCTGGGCTGGGTCCCAAGAATCTGCCTCTCCAATGAGGTCCCCTATGCTGTGGCTGAGGCTGGTGGTCCCTGAGCCACACTTTGAGTGTAGCGAGGATGTCACAGTTCCCTTCTTCGTGGACAGGGACCCCAGTAGGTTCCTAATTTCCTTTGCTCTGCCCTTCATGGGGCTCAGAAATATAGTGGGGTACGCTGGATTCTGTGAGGGAATATTCTCAAGGGATTGCTGGAGTGGGAGACAAACAGGCTCCAGCAGTCCTGCAGCCAAGTGGCTACTAGGGAGGTGACTTCTGGGGACCACTCCAAAGAGGAGGAGCATGGACCTGGCAGAGTGCTGCCTGGTACTAGCTTTGTTTTGCTTTTTTTTCTGTGTCATAATTCTCTGTGGGCTCATTGCGCTCTAGAGTTCACTATGACATGCGCCACCCTTGTATCAATACTGCTTGCAGAAGCAAAGGAAGGGCCAGTACCAGTGTCTGGGGTGAAGACCAAGGAAGACTGTAAGAGCCCAGAGAAGAGGCTGGGAGATAGCCGGGGTGGGGTGCATGTGGTCTGGCAGCATCAGTCTGGAGCTCCACGTGGCAAGTGGCACCCAGGACATGTCTTCCCTCACAAGCACCCTCTGCAGTACTTGCAAAGAGTAGAGAAGTATCTGCCTTGACATTTGGTTGGAGGTTCAGACTAGGTCAGTTCAATTGTAAAGGAAACGATGAAGCCTGGCATGTAGCACATGCCTGTAATCCCAGCTACCTGGGAGGATGGCTCGAGGCCAGCAGTTGGAGTCTGCAGTGAGCTGTGATCGCACAACTGCACCCCAGCCTGGGTGACAGAGTGAGAACTTTGTTTCTTGAAGGAAAAAAAAAAGAAAGAAAACAGTGGCTCTCCTGAGGCTGGAAAACTTGAGAACACTCAGGTAACATGCGGGGACAAGTCAATTAGTCATCCCTACCGTCCCTTCCCTTCTTCTCTCTCATGGCAATAGAACCCCAAATTTTTAGCTGGGATGTGACTACTCAGTGCAGCATCTGGACTGCATTACACAGCCTCCCTTGCAGCTAGGCATGATCATGTGACCAAGTGCCGGCCAATGGCACACAAGTGGGAATGACATCAGGACATTCAGGACATTCCTTTCAAAGGAAAGGGCGTGCCCTGCCCTTCCCCTGTGAGCCATCTTAGGCCGGGCAAACAAATACCTTGGATGGCACAGTGACAGGACAGAAGGAGCCTGGTTCCTGGGACGGTGGAGCCACCCCGTCAGCCTGCTGCCTCCACCTGGAATTGCACGAGAGAGAAATAAGCTTCTGTCGTGTTTTAGCCACCATATCCTTGGGATTCTGTGTAACTTAAAAATATATATTCAATTCTGAGACTACTTGGAGGCTGAAAGCACATAAGTCATCATTTAAGGAAGGATGGGAACAAATTCTTACTGGTCATCTCCGTGCTTTACAGTCAGCCAATATCTATTAAATACTCTAAGGACGCAGCACCACCCAAAACAGGCAAAAAAAAGTCCTGTCCCCGGTAGAGCTAACATTTAGTATTGTATCACTTAGTCTTCATAACTACTCTGTCAGGGAACTGTTGTGGTTGGTTTGTTTTTGTTTGTTTGTTGAGGCAGGGTCTCACTCTGTCACCCAGACTAGAGTGCAGAGGTGTCATCATAGCTCCCTGCAACCTCCAACTCCTGGGCTCAAGCGATCCTCCTGCCTCAGCCTCCCGAGTAGCTGGGACTACAGTCGAGTGCCACCATGCCTGGATAGATTTTTTTTATATTTTTGTAGAAACAGGGTCTTGCTTTGTTGCCCAGGCTGGTCTGTGACTCCTGGCCTGAAGCAGTCCTTCTGCTTCCACCTCCCAAAGTGCTGGGATCACAGATGTTAGCCACCACACCTGGCCAGCAAACTGTTCTCTGCATCTCAGGCATGAGGACGTCAAAGTTTAGGGATTTCCGGTGATATGCGTGAGGTGAGCAGTGCGTTCAGCATTGCCCTCAGGTCTACCTCACACCAGAGCTAGGACCTCTCGTGAGTCCGCTGTTTCCAAATTTTGCCCTATACAGAGGTCTGTCAGGAACTGTCATGGATGGGTGTTGCTCCATGAATTAATATAAATGTGTTTGCGGACAGGATTTGTCTCGAGAGTTTTGCAGAGCTTTGCCCTGAAGGAATATGTGAACGTGTTGGTTTGCATTTCAAATGCTGGTGCACTCGGAAGGGCGTCTCTGAAAGACAGTAGCGGCTGTATCACACAAGGCGCCGCGTTTCTCAGACCTAAAGATTTGGATTTGCTTTGTAAAGCAAAGTAAATCTGTTAAAAACTACAGGATGAGAGCTGATAATAGAGTGCCCTCCGGAACAGACAGCCACAGACAGACACCCTGGCTAAAAGCACGTTTCTGCTTAATACTCCAGACTACCTGTCTCCATTCACAATAACCTGATAAAGAAAATATGGAGCCAATATATCTCTGTTTAACCCCTCTGTTAAGTGATAAATTTACCTTTGAACATAGAAGTTAATCTTTGAAAGATTTTATAACCATTTGTTCACATAGATAGAATTAGTTAAAGGATCTGTAGAAGCCTTTTGAAAATGTGTTAACCTAAGAGGAACTACCTGCTGTTATGTAAATCTGTTACCGCTGGCAACTAATCGCTGTTCCCTATAAGTTACCATGTAAGACTTCATTCGGGGCTTTTTGAGATTCACGGAGAAAATCTAGGCCACCCGAGATCCCGCTTTGCCTATAATCTTTATAAACTTATATAACTATATCTTTGTCTCTGTTTATTTTTTTATTTTCAATTATTTTCCATTTTTTTCTACTATTTTCTTATCCTTTGCAACTCTACCAAAGGGACCCAGTTTTTTGTGGGGAGCGTTGGCCACGTTCCCAGCAGATGGGGTGTTGTAACCACGGGGAATTAAGGGGAAGTTTTTCCCATGATCGAAGAAAGGCCAGGGTTAGCTAAGAGAGAGACACGAGGAGACCTGAGGTCGGGGTGACGGACAGCAGTCATCAGGGCGAACCAACAGCAGAGGCTCCACAGGACAAAGGCTGAGTCAGAGGAGGCCACCCAAGAGAAATAGGGACCAGGGGTCCCATAACACTGTGCCCCCCAAACCTCTCCCTCCCCTTCTCTATAAGCAACTCTGGGAAGGGGGTCGGGGCCCTGAGACCAACTCCCAATCTCAGGGAAATTCTCTCTGGAATGTAGCTGGAAATGCAAATTGAGCTACAGGAAAATAAAGAGTCCTGTACGTTTTAAATATATCTGCGTTTGTGTATGGAGATTCCTATCACACCCACTCACACTCAGACATCAAAGAAAAGTGACTTCGAAATGCACTGAAACGTTAGCTGGGGCCCTCTCTGAGTTCCGGGGGATGTTGTCCAATGTCCTTCTTCATATTTTCTGGGTTTTCCCATGTTTCCCAATGAGTATTGAATAAACAGAAAGAAAAACTAACACGACAAAGGGTGTTTTGTTTTTGTTTTACTTTTTCAGGAAAAGAATTCGAGCTATTTCTGTAACTAGGTTGTTTGAGTAGATGTAATTACATCCATGTTACCAGAAATTATCATCTGACCATTTCCAGGATGAGAACAAAACGCTTAGTTGTCCCGGTCCACGTTTCCCAAGCAGGGGGAGGAGTCCTTTGCAGGGACAAATAAGCATTAGCACTCGTGGACATCCCGTGGAACTCCAGGCTGTGGCTCTGGGATCCACCGGCTACATCTAGCTGTCTGAGGCAGGTAATCCATGATGCTTCACGCGGGGAGCAAAGGGATCTGCTTTCCCAGGATAGTTCTAGGCTGCGGCCGGAGCTAGTGGGGTGTGTGGGGCAGGACGGGGCCAGGAGGAGGTGTGCTCAGAGCTCTGGGCTGGGAGTCAGGGGCTGTTCTGGGTCCCCACCAATTCCCCCCCATCCCCTACCCCCACGCCCCCACCGCCACCCTCATGCCTCTTAAGCGAGTCCTGTCTCTGGGTCTGAGTTTCTGTACTTGCAAAGGGTGGAGGGCGGAGGTGCCATGGGGACTGCTACGGTTATTTCTGCCTCTGACACTTTTGGATTCTGGTTCAACTCAGCTGTGTATCCAGCCCTCAGTGGGAAGAGGTGCTGTCCCCTGGCCTGGCACAGGCCGCAGCTCTCAGAACGTGCTGCAGATGAGATTATTGCAGTGGGTCCCTCCGAGCAGAGGCAGCAGGGCCCACTGTGATTTCAGGGTCTAAATGGGGCTGCCTAGGGAGGGCTCCCTTCCCCAGCAAGGCACCTGGCCCAGCAGAGGAACAGGCTGCGCCTTTGCCCAGCAACTGCAAAGACAGACGGCTCCGAAACCGCCAGTCCTCCAACTTGCCCAGGCAGAACAGACAAGCCTTTCGCCCTGGAAATAATTTTGGAGAAAAATATCGTTCAATGCATTTCCAAGGAAATAGTTGCATCATCCTGAGAATAAACAAACAGCTGAGGTAACCAGGTTGCCTCTGCCCTGGGCTTGTCGGAAGCCTTTGCATGGGCCTCCCCCTCGCTCCCCTCTCTCCTCTTCTCCAGTCCCCTCCATCTCCCCCTCGCCCTCCTGTCCTGTCCCCTCCTGTCCTCTCCCTCCTTCTTCCCCTCTCTTCCCCTCTCTTCCCCTCTTTCCTCCTCCCCCTCTCTCCTCCCCAACACCCAAGCTACCCCTTTTCTCTGCATTCTGGGCCCGAGGGAGGCCGAGGGTAAAGAACCCCGTGTGCTGTGGTCACCTTGCACCCAGCCCTCCCAGGCCCCCTGCAGTGGCCGGAGCCCCGCCTCTGGTCTGGATGGAAAGGCTAGTAGGTGCCCACGGCATGGGCGGAGAAAGATTTGGCCCACAGAAATTAAGATATAAAAGTAAAAAAAGTTTGTCTTCTCAGAAGAATAGAGAGAAGGAGAGAATGAAAGAGGGAGAAAGAGGGAGCGAGCAGGGGCACGGCTGGCATCCCGAAGGAAGACGAGGGAGATGCCAGCGCTGAGGCCCAGGGGCTGGCTGATCTGAAGGGGGACAAAGAGAAGGAAAAACAGTGATGCTGTCAGTCAGTAACAAAAACTGCAGGGATGGCAAAGTCCAAGGCTCGGTTTCCTGCCGTCCTTGGAGAAGGGGTTATCACGGGAGATGAGACTCTGCCCTGGGGTTGAGGCTGTAGCTCCTTCTCTTGCTGTTTACTCAGGAACTCTGTAAAAGCAGAATCTCAAAAAAAAAAAAAAAAATTTGAAAGAGAGAGATTTACATGCTTTCATGTCTTTCCTGTCCATTGGGCTCTTTTCAGAAGTTGTGCAAAACGGAACTCCCGCAGGGCGCTGTTAGTGAGAGAACGGGTAGGACTGATCTGTAACCGTCACTGGGGAAACCTGGGATTAGTTACTTTCCTGTTGTTTTCCCAAGGCCGCCTTTGCCCTCGGCTTGTGGTTTCAGGCATGGGAGGGTGGCAGGAAGTGACCTGTCCGGAACGCTGCTTAGGAGCCAGGCACCTTCATCATTTACCTCACCTGAGCCACTTACTGTGTCGTGCAGAGATGGGAACTGAGGCTCAGAGAGGTTCCGTCACCTGATTGCCACCACACAGTAACCACGAGTGGCCAAAATGAAATCCCAGTCCCGGTCACAGACTCTGAAGCTCACTCTGCCTTCTCCCCACCACGAGGCCTTTCCAGGCTTATGGTGGAAGCAAAGACCAACCCTCCCCATTTTCAGGGCCATCTAAGCTCCAGGTACTATACCAGCTACCTCTGTGCCCTCTCAGTTAACCCTCACTACAACCAGGCGTCACATGGTCACACGTGTCATCTGGAGGCTGGGAGAGGTGCTCTGTCCTCTGACTCAGACCAGGACTCCTTCCCTGGGTTCTACTTCAGGAGAAGGGGCATAAGGGAAGAGGAGCACTGTTTGCTAATCCCCCTGACTAAGGTCTGCTCACCATGTGGAGCGGAGGAGGAGGAGGAGGAGGAGGAGGAGGAGGAGGAGGAGGAGGAGGAGACGTTCTGGTTGGACAGAACCTCATCCCCATCATCAGCTTCCAGACCTAGGAGCCAGGCAAACCTGGCTGCCCACCTGGCTCTTCCACTTGTTTGCTGTGTGGCCTTGGGCAAGCCCCTTCACCTCTCTGTGCCCAGTTTCTCCACTGGGAAAAGTGGCAACAATTACAGTACTTACCTCAAAGGGTGGAAGGGAGCACAGAACGTAATCGTGTATGCCGGGTGCCCAGGAAAGCAGCTACCCGGAGGAGCCGACAAAGCTAGCAAGCGCAGTGGCACCGGGACCGAATGCAGGCCGGGTGGGAGGCAGCGGGAGGTGGGTGGTGCACCAGCTGGCCCTCTGAGACTTAAAGGATCTTGTCTTTCCACAGTGGAGAGTGAAGAAAATGTTGCCCCTCCTGGCTCTGGGGCTCTTGGTGGCCGGGGTCTGCCCTGCTGTCCTCTGCCACCCGGGCGGCACACTTGACCAGGAGAACGTGACCCTGGAGGACCAGGACAATGGGACGCGTGTGGACAATCTCGGATTAGCCTCCAGCAACACAGACTTTGCCTTCAGCCTCTACAGGCAGTTGGCTTTGAAGAACCCTAATAAGAATGTCATCTTCTCCCCACTGAGCCTCTCTATAGCCTTGGCCTTCCTGTCCCTGGGGGCCCGCGGCACCACGCTGGCGGAGCTTCTCAAAGGCCTCAAGTTCAACCTCACGGAGACCTCAGAGGTGGAAATTCACCGGAGTTTCCAGCGCCTCCTGCGCACCCTCAACCAGCCCAGCGACCAGCTGCAGCTGAGCACGGGCAATGCCCTGTTCATCGAAGAGCAGCTGCGTCTGCTGGACAGGTTCGCGGAGGACGCCAAGGGGCTGTACGCCTCCGAGGCCTTCAAAGCCAACTTCCAGGACTCTGCCGCTGCCGAGAAGGTCATCAATGACTACGTGGAGAAGAAAACCCAGGGGAAAATCGTAGATCTGGTCAAGGAGCTTACTCCAAGGACAGTGATGGTCCTGGTGAATTATGTCTTCTTTAAAGGTGAGTGTGCGGCGTGAGGTGCGGAAGGAGAGGGACGTTTGGTTCCGGGTCTCTGGGCTATTTCTGCCCTGGGTCAGTGTTACCAGGCAGCACACTGTAGAGGAAGGTGCCCACGGCTTGGGGGGTGGGGGGCACCAAGACCCCGCCCTGCCCACAGGCATCGTGTTCTCCCGTGGGGGTTTCCAATTTACAGCCTGTCCTCCCAGGACGTGACTTCAGGGGAGCCCACTCGCCCTGGGTCTGCGTCAGTGTGTTGTGTTGTATTCTGAGTTAAACTTGCCCAGCAAACAGAAGGGAGGAGCTCTCCTTTGAGATCACTCCCAGGTTGGGCTGTGTTTGATGTTTACTGTAGCTAGAGGCAGTTGCGTGGAGTTTTACCTTTGCTAAGTTAAAAGCCTGGTGGGCTCCGGGGTCAGAGTGCCTGAGAGCGGAGCCCGGGCCAGGAAGACGCAGAAGCCAGGGCAAGTCTGAGCTGGATGTTCACGGTCCATAGAGTTGGACGCGATTCAGACACGAACTGAGGACTCACAGCCAGCACCTCGTAGCCCGTGGCTTTTGGGATGTCCAGTGATCCCACCCTCTAGATGTCACAAGTGCAGATGGTCACTCCTGGCTCTGAATGCTGCCTTCCGTTAGGGACCTCCCTGCCCTCCCATCGTTCACAGGGACGGGCGCTCGCTTCTGTCTGCCCCTCGCAACTCACATACGCAACCCAGTCTCCTTCCTCCTGTGTCCACCAAACCCCTCCCACAAGCCACTTACGGTCACGTCCCTGCAATGCCACGTGACTAAGAATTGCTTACGAGATACGGTTGTCTTCAAGGAACCAGGGATGTCCCGTGTCTTCCCAGGCTCCGGCTTCCCGCGTGGCATCATGCCTCTTTCCCCGCTCTCCTACTTCTCTCTCTCTCGCACTCCCCATTCCCAGATTCCTGTTCATTCCTCATTTAGCACGAGTTACCAGGCTTTGGTTTCGTGGCCCCCTTTCCAATCCGGGCTGCAGGGCGCTCCCCCATCCCCAGTGCTTTTCCACTTACCAAGGTGTTCGTGTTAATATTCTTCCAAACCAAGGCAGGCCGTCCCCACTGGGGAAACCGGGCAGAGTGGGGGCCGGGCAGGACCACCCTTGCACTCACACGGTTCTCCCACTCCTTGCTCCACCTTTAGCCAAGTGGAAGACGCCCTTTGACCCCCATGATACTTTCAAGTCAAGATTTTACTTGAGCAAGAAGAAGTGGGTGATGGTGCCCATGATGAACATCGAGGACCTGGACGCACCCTACTTCCGGGACGAGGAGCTGTCCTGTACGGTCGTGGAACTGATGTACACAGGCAACGCCAGCGCGCTCTTCATCCTCCCTGACAGGGGCAAGATGAAGGACGTGGAAGCCAAGTTGCTCCCGGAGACCCTGAGGCGGTGGAGAGACTCGCTGCAGATCAGGTGATCGTCCCCATCCCCGGGACCCGGCGCTGTCGGCTGGCCCGCCTTCCATCCCAGCCCCCTGAGACTGCACGTCCCTCCACCTCTGGGTCTCACCAATGTCCAGAGACAACGGCACAGTGGTGGGTTGGAAGAACTTGTATGGGGACAGGTGGAGCTTGGGCTCACTTTGCCCTTTGCTACCTGCGTGGCTTTGGGCCTGATTTTTTTTCTTCTTTAAGACAATGACATCAGACAGAGCAAGGGACTGAGGCTCCCTCTGACTCTGATGTGCTCTAAGTCACGAGGCATCTCTCACATGATCTGCAATACTCAGGCATGGTTTCTCCCGGTCTCGACTTCTTGAAGTCTGTAGAGGGGGACAGAGGGAATTGCAGTCAATTGAGGACTGAGGCCAGGTGGGCTCTGAGAATCAGCTCTGCACTGGTTAACCAATACATTCCTTCAACATTTGTTAAGTGACTAATTGAGCACCTACTACATGCCAGGCACTGATTTAGACCCTGAGGATATATCCGAGAACAAAACACAAAATTCCCTGCCTTCGTTGAACTTACTTTATAATTTGGAGAAAGAGACAATAAGTAAATATAATAAATAAGTAAATTATTTTATATTTTAGAAGGTGAGACATGGAGGGGAGAGTAGAGGAAGGTAAAAGAATGGGAAAACTAGAACTAGAGGTAGTTTGTGAGTTTAAGTAGAATAGCCATTAGGTGATCCTTCTCGGACATACAGGGAAAAGCATTCCTGACAAAGGGAACAGCCAGTGTAAAGCCTCTGAGGCAAGTGATGCTGGTGTGAGCAAGGAAGAGCAGGGCCAGAGTGGCTGGAGCAGAGCGAGTGAGGGGAGAGTTAGAGGTCAGGGGCCCCAGGGGGCGGAGCAGGTTATGTGGGGTGATGCAGACCCCTGGAAAACCTTGACCTTCCTCCTCAGTGAAGTGGAGAGCCATCAGGAGGTTTCGAGGAGCAATACGACCTTAGTGTTGTTTTGAAAGGACGGCCCTGGCTGCTGAGTGGAGAGCAGCCGGAGGGGCAAGTGTGCAGTCGGGGAGACCAGCTGGGACCCCCACGTGGGAACCCAGGTGGGGCCTGTGGTAGGCCTGGGAGGGAGCTGTGCAGTATGAGAAGCGGAGGGGCTCTGGGTGAGTCCGAGGGTGGAGACACAGGCTGGGACACGCGGCATTGAGCTGGCCAGTATCAGGGGGGCAAGGCAGAGCAGTCGCTTTAGCCCAGACCCTGCAGTGGGCACAGGGCTGGGGAGAGAGGAGCTCCAGCCTTAAGGACCCTGGTGGCCAGCATGACCTCCAGCAGGTCGCTGCTCTTCTCTGGGGCTCAGCTACCTGCTGAATGGGGAGTAGTGTCCTTGTTCTGCCCTTGACCTTTCCGGGTGACTGGAGAATCCAGTGGGGTAGTGGATGTGGAAGGCACTTTCATATATAAACCACAAAGGGTGAGGGACCTGCTGGGACACTGACCTGAGGCTGCAGCCCCTGCCCCAACCACCGTCTGACCCTCAGCCCCTTCTCACTCCAGATCCCCGGAGACCCAGGACTCCCTTGCAGACGCTTTCCTTCCTTCAGCACCAAACAGCTGCCACGGAGCAGGGGCAGCATGAGCAGTTTTGCACAGAAAGTGTATCCACCAAACACCTTTGACTTACAAAACACCGAGGGATTGTGTGTCTGCACAGGCATGGCTCACAGTGGTGCTCAGTAAACACTTGTTGAAGGAATGAATGAATGAATGAATGAATGAACATGCAGAGGAGGAGGGCGTTTCGTGAGCGACACGGCCTCCCCATAGAGCTGACAGACCAGGCAGACAGCGACAAGAGTCTTAAGGGGGATATAAGCGAAGGGAGAGGGAGCTCGTGGGGCAAGGTGTCCCCTCCTGCCCCGAGAGCTTGCCGCCTGCTCTGTGCTCAGCCTGGACCGGCTCGGGGACAGCCCCCACGCAGAGCTCACCAGGAGGCAAGAGGGGGACCTCCAGTTGATCATTTCAGGATCCCCAAAGCCCTTCCGGTATAATCAGACTCCTCGGCAACCCCCAGCTCCTCATGACCCACCTCTGGCCCCTGCCCAGCCTCACCCCCCACCAGTCTCCTCCTCCCACGCCAAGGCCGCCCTCCACTCTGTGGGGTAGCTAGCTCCTCTTGCTCCCCACCTTCCTGCAAGTTCTTCCACCTGTCTCCTGCCTGCCCTTACCCTCCTTCCTCTCCTTTGGGACTCAGCCTCAATTCCACCTCCTACAGGAAGCCCTCCTGATGCCCTCCTATCTTTCACCATGCTGCATGGACCTGTTGGTGTGCACGCTGTGGTGGGAGTTGGCGGAGAGTGGGGCTAGGCTCAGGCACTGGCACGGCTCCAGGCCTGGCACGTTGTCTGGCACCTTTAGCAGTTGCAGATGCAAATAGGTAATTAATGAATTAAGAAGAGTAAATGCAAGGGGTTGAGAAACTGAAGAAAGGATTACTTATTTCCAGGGAAAACTATGCACTGAGGTAGGAGAAAGTGGGCACTGAGCCAGCAGAGGTTCAAATACTTTTTTTCTCATTTCCTAGACATATAGATAGCCTCCGCCTGCCGAAGTTTTCCATCTCGGGTGACTATAATCTGAAAAACATACTTCCCCTGCTGGGCATTAGGGAAGTCTTCACCAAGGAGGCCGACCTGTCAGGGATCACGGGGGCCAAGAACCTCGTGCTCTCCCAGGTGAGTCTTCAGACTTTGGGCGACTTATCCTCCATATCTGAATTGGAAAGGGGAAGGCCTGATGGATGTTTGGGTGATCTTGAATTTGTGTAAATACATGCGTCTCTCATCACTGATCCTCCTCCTTGGGACTCCCCCAAGCCCAGGAGAGCTGGGGTATAGTTGGGGGCTGGTCTCCACCTCCCTTGCCACATACCGTGACCCGGGAACCTGTCATTGGGCAGAATCAGACGGCCGTGGACACCCTCCCATGCTCCCCTGTGTAGTGTCTGCAAGACAAACAATTAAAGTCCTCCACCCTCAGTTTTTTCATCTGTCAAATGGGAGTGATAGTCCTCGGCTCATATGCGGTGCCTGGCAGGGCAGGTGATGGTAACAGGTAATAGGAATGGTTATATGGAATTGTGACGGAAATGCACTCAGAGTATGAGAGAAGACTACTTGGGCCGCCAGGACTGCATTACTAGAAGCAGAGTGATCAGAGCAAAGGGAGTGGGCTGGGCTGCCCTCCGCTCTCCTCTGTACGTGTGCCCACGCAGAGCACTGGGCCGGGCTCTGCATCCCTCCTCCCCAAGAGCAGGGGGATAGGGGCTGTGTTCGGAGGAGCAGAGACAGGTAGTCCTGGAATGCAAAGCCATGCAAAGTAGTTGAGAGCCCCAAGGGTGTTTAAGCTGGGGCAGGAATACTGGTCCTGCCAGGGAGGTGTCTGCGGCAGCTGTTTTGTGGTCGAGAGGCTGCCAGGAATTTGCTTACAAGAAAAATGCCTTTGAGAGGCTGCCAGGAATTTGCTTACAAGAAAAATGCCTTCGGTGGCCCTTGCCCCGCCTCCCGACAGGAGTGGGTGTTTGGGGGGCAACACAGGCTCTTCACTCGGATGGAGAGGGACCCAGGGCAGGCCCCCAGCTCTTTACCTCTACATCTCTGGGCAGGTCATACATGGCGTCTGAGTCTCCATTTGCGCACCTGCCATCGTGACTGTGCGAAACTAGCTGACAGGGCTGTCCGGAGGAGCAAACAAATTTAATAGCGCGGGAACGTGCCGGCGGCAGATGCTCGATAAATGTCAGTCCCCTTAGCAGCACACGGGAAGGCTGCTTGTCCCCTGCCCCCTCCTGTCTGAGTACTGCCGTGCTGTCCCTACAGGTGGTCCACAAGGCCGTACTGGATGTAGCTGAGGAGGGCACAGAAGCAGCTGCTGCCACAGGAATCAAAATGGTCCCCATGTCTGGAAGAATGGACCCGATGTTAACTCTGAATTTCAACTTCCCCTTTCTGCTGATCCTCCAAGACAAGGACTTGGACAACATCCTCTTTATGGGCAGAATTAGAGAGCTCTAGTAAGCCTAGAGCTCCCCTCCAAGCAGTGGGGGTCCCGCTAAGGAGCCGGGAATGGAAGCCGGGTGCCGGGTCTCTGGGCATAGCCTGGTTCTGTCTGCTCATCCTTAGGAAGGTGACAGTGACTGCCTGTGTGGCTTCCACATGCATAGGCAGCCTCCTGACAGCAATAAACTGTCTTCCTTGTACTGGACACTTTCCTTTTGCCTGACTCTGTGTCCCCAAGAATGCCTGTGCGCCAAAGCCAAGCCCCCTGACTCCCACGCAGGCTCAATCCCTTCCCAGGCTCTGGGCCCCTCTGTCTTCAGCTGCAGCAGCCCGACCAGGACCCCCTAAGCTTGCAGCCAAGCTCACCTGGACCCCAGGCCCACGACTGGAGGGGACCCTGCTGTCCTAAGGCCGATTCCTGCCTCCAGGGGCTACCTGGTGCCTGGTTCCAGTTTTCCTCTTTCCCTCCCCCAGGGCCCAGGCTCTGCCCACCTGCTGACTCTTGCAGGGGCTCCAGGCCCTGACCACACCTGGCACAGCCCCTGGACCCCTCACTTCTGCAGCAGAGCAGGGCTTTATGGTGGGATCTCTCCTTTCTGCCCCCCCAGCCCCCCAATATGTGGAGAGTGGCCATTTTCTGGGTTCCCAGACTGAGCCCCTCAACTGTCTCAGCAGTTCCTAGTCCTCACCCTGATGGACGATCTCCCTGGGCAACCAGAACGCGGGGCTGAAGACACAGGAGCATTACATGCACAGCGGCAGCGAGCGCGGCCCTGCAGCTGTTCATTTAACTGATGCCATCGGAGACCTCGTGATCTCTAGGGACGACAAAGACAGTGACAGGGTTGACAACAACTGAATAGTTGAGATCTTTATTCCAGACCGTCTGCTAAGATCTCTCCTTGAAATCACCCATTTAATCCCGGTGATGACCCTATGAGATAGATGCTATCAATGGTCTCATTTTGTAGATGAGGAAACTAAGGCGCAGAGAGGCTTAGCAATTTTCCCAAGGCCACAGAGCTAGTAATTATTGCCGGCAGATGTTATCCCAATCCACCTGCCACCCGAGGAGCACGCTGAACCACAAAGTGATTCCACACCTTGAGATTTTCACAGTGTCCCCTCAGGGGACAGACAATCTGATGGGCAAATAGATGGTGAAACAAGGCTCTGGGAGCTGAGAGGAGAGCATCAAACTCAGTCTGGGATGTCAGGGAAGACTTCTTGGAGGTGGTGACTTCTGTGCTGAGATCAGAGGAGGAATAGAAGGTGGTCAGGTGAACAGAGAAGAGAACCTTCGGGCAGGAGAAAGAGCAATGGTGGCATTTTTGAGAAACTGAAAGAAATTGAGTAGTTCTGGGGCAGGGAGCAGAAGGGCTGGGAGGAGGAAGAGACAGAACCGCTGCCAAGGATTGCAGAGTGGTTCCTTGGAGCCACAGGGGCTTTAAAGGCATTTGAACACAGAGGAGACGCAAGCAGACTTGCACGCCGGAAAACTCACTCTGACTGCTGAGCAGAGAAGCGATGATTCAGGGCCCAGGACAGGGGTGCACGCTGGACATCCAGGGGCTGTTGCTGGAACTGGGGCAAAAGCAAGTCACAGGTAGGAGGGAGCGAACGCAGGGTGTTTCTGCCAGGAGGCCGTGAGAAGCATGGACACAGCTGCGGTTGGGTGCAGGGAGGAAGGGAGAATAAGCCGTGTTTGGGTCTGGGCACCTGGGTGATGACCACACATTCTGAGACAGGAGGAGGGTGAGCATCATGGCATGAGGAAAGAGGACCCCCCGTGGAAGGATCGGCTGAGAAAGGGCAGCCCGATGAGGACAGTGACCAGCATGGGGAGGAGGCGGGAGGACAGGAAGAAAGCTGTCACCCAGGCCCAAGAGGAGAGGCTTACCGAGGGGGTGGGGAGATGACCCAGAGACGGGGTGAATGGGCGCATCCATGGGAGTCAGGGATCCAAAGCCACTAGGGAAGGGCACGTGCAATGCCCGCAGGGCGGAGGGAAGGCCACAGTGGGCTTGGGAGTGAGCAGAGGAGAAGGAGAGAGAGAGCAGGAGAGAGTGCAGACGCCCACCTAGAGGTAAGCTTTTGAGGGGAGGAAAGAGGGCGGTGGGCAGTGGGCGCTATGCTGGAGTCAGCTCCAGTGCTTCGCAGATGCTAGAGCCTTGAGCAAGCTTTTATGACCACAGAAATGATTCAGGAGACCGGTGACCAGCCTCCAGGGCCGCAGGGTGCCACAACTCCTAAGGTACAATGAATATGGGCCATTCGGCACCCCCTCCAACGGGGAGGGAGCTGCACAGTGAGCAGCCGCCGGCAGGGCGGCAGGAAGCGTCTCAGAGAGAGCACAGTCGCTGGGTGGGGAGGGCAGAGGTCAAAGGTCAAGGCTCCCACTGTGACAGGAATGCAGGGGAGGGCCTGGCCATGGCAGAGGAAGGAAGGTGCATCCCTCTTAGCAGCACGCTGTGGATCCTCCTCCCCTCCAATGATTTTGGTGATTTCTGAAGTAGAAGAGACATTTGCCAGGATTTAGGATGGGGGAAGGCATGCAATGGGACAGGGAGGGGACCAGGGCGTCATGGCAGATCTGCCAGGCTCAGCGATGGGCTCCTTGGCAGCCCAACTCTAGGAATTGCTGGTGGCTCCAGTCTTCAGGGCTGTGAATTTTCTTTCTCTATCCTCTCCAGCTCCCTTTCAGGTTTCAAGAAGGTCAACTGCTGGTCAGGAGGTCGGGAGTCAAGGAGGGAGCTGAGGATCGAGACCAGGCAGGGCCTGAAATCACGGGCCTCAGACTTAGTGCTGAGAGGAACAGACCAGGGCAGAGGGAGCTGAGCCCCAGGGAGGGCCGAGGGCAAGGGACGGGGGTACCAGGAGGTCCGAGAACAGCCCGTTGGAAATGTCAATGTGAACAAGAAAGGCTACTCTTTCCCTCAAAGAGGGGTCTTCCTCATTGACACTCAGTTTTCTTGTCTCTAAAGTGGGAATAATGATGGTATGTGCATATGTGTACACACACATGTAAGAAGTCAGGCTGGCATGTACATGTGTGTAAAAAATCAGACTGGCGTGTGCATGTGTGTGTGCACACGTGTAAGAAGTCAGACGTCACTGAAATGCTTGCTCCTGGGTCTGAGTACCCCTGGCCGCAGCAAAAACACCCTAAGATGATCTTTTCTGCCTGAATTAACTCCTCACCAGCTACTCTCCCCTTGGCAGGGGTCCCTTGGCATCTGCTGTCCTTGATGGGCCTCCCGACACTGACGGGCCAGCTGCAGGGACAGCCTGGTCCCTGTTCTGACCCATCACCTCCCTCACTAACCAGCAGTGAAGTTCAGGGCCAAGAGGCACCACCACCAGAGATGCCTGTTCACTCTCATTCAGCCGCGTGAACTCCCAGCCCGCCGCGCGCGGGCCCAGGCTGGCCCTGGGGTTCTGAGGTGAAGAAGGTGGGCCTGCAATTTGCCCTCATAGAGTCTTCTCCTTGGTGAGCAGGACAGGTAACTGAACGTGGATGCGACAACCGCTCTGATGGGTGGTGTGCAGGATGCCAAGTGGGCCCAGGAATCAACCCCAGACTAGGACAGTCAAGCTGGAAGTTCTCAAATGCTAAGTCCTGTGCAGTGAAGAGGAGACATCAGGCAGATGTGCTGGCAGGATATAAGAAAGAGTGTGGTGTATTCATTGGGCTAGAAGAAGATCCTGTGGTCTGGATCACCAAGTTTGAGAAAATCATGGTCATCTGTGGAGCTAAGGAGAACAACATGAACAAGACCATGAACAGGACCATGTAAACCATGTGAGGGATCTTAGAGCTTATTCAAAGGGTGGTGAGCAACAGTGAAATATTATAAACAGGGACGTGTATTGACTAGGTTATCCCTTTAGAAATCACCCTAGCCGAGGAGGGGAGGGTGGATGGGGTCGAATTGCGGGTTTGGTGGGAAGAAGAGAAGCAGAATGACCAGGTATTTTCATCTCAGTTAGGAATTGGGCAAGGATGCAGAGGAGAGGGAACCGATCAGAGATATTTACCAGGTAGAACCGATAAGACTTCACGATTGATTGTGCAAGCCCGGTGAGACCACGCACGAGTTACGTGCAGCGGGATTACTACTGACACAGGCAGCAAGGCCAGCGGAAGCCTACGCGTCATTGCGAGCTGGTCCCCCAAGGCTCAGGAAACCTGCTCAGGACACATGGGGTCTCATCTGTGTGTGCCCCACTTGCACCACAGTTGAGGGGCCCCAGAAAGAAGCCCCCACCCCCACCTGGGTTTCATACCCCAAGGGCAACATGACATGCTGGGCTAAAGTGTTGAAGTGTTTCCAGGGAGAACTGGAAATCAGCCCGTGCTGTTCTGGCTGGTCCCTCCCTGTC